GGCATAAAAATGGCTAGTGAAGAAAGAGAAAAGAGAAGCGTGAATGGACTTGGAGCAGGGGAAAGGAAAATAGGTATATGAGTAAGCCAACAGAAACTACAATAATAATAACATGTCAATAAAGCAGGTAAAGAAGATCAATTTTTAATAAGGGGTAAAAAGAAAGGAGAGAGAAAAACTAAAACAGTGTCAGGAGAAGAGATACAGGATGAAAAAGGAAGAAGTGAGAAGGAAAGGGTGGGAAAAAATAAAAAAATAAGATAAAATAAAATAATGATAAAAAATAAAAACAGAGTGAAGAAAAATAATACAAAAAAGATAAAAAGAAAAAAATATATTTATAATGAAAGATTAAAAAAAAGTGAAGTGTTGTTTGCTTCAGCTGAGTTTTAATGTCCCATGGAGCCTGGTTTAAGACCCCACTCTAATATTCTGTCTGCCACTTCTCAGTTTCCTGTTAGGTAGTCAGCACCTTGTTGAAGTTCTCAGTGATCCACTGCTCCTGTGTTTGTCTCCACAGCCATGGTTGTAAGTAGGCAGAACCAATCAGCCCACTTTTCCTGTCTGCCTGTTGTCAGTCTTAATTATGCAAACATCTATTTCTGACATGGGCTTTGGTGGGGGTTTTGCTTTATTGGTTTCTGGGACTAAAAGTTCCTTCAGCCCAGTCCCCAAGGACTCCCTGGGGCTATTCAGAGTCTTTTGTTTCCTCTGCAAAGCTGAAGGCTGGTGCCACTGCACTAGTTGTTCTGTGGTTGCTGGGATGGGCTGGCTCTTCAGGAGAAAAATGGATGCTTAGGGATGGAGGGTCTGGAATGTATCAGTGCCGGATTCCTGGTCACTTCTCCTTGTCCTGCTCCCCTCCACAGACTACACGAAACTGCACCTCCACCTGCATCGGAGCTTCAGTGAGTGTTTGTAATTCAAAGGTCCTGTGAACTGGGTTTAGTGAGTAAAAGCAAGGAAAATACAAAGGTAAAACAACCGTGCCACTGGGAGTTTCTCTACCCCCTCCCCCCGCCCCCCGTACCATGTGGGTCAGGCAGTTCTTCAGGCTTACATTCTGGGCACAGCCTCTTACAGCTGTGGAATTAGATCTAGATTCCCCAGCTGCCAGCAGCCCTGTGGACCTCCCTTCCACAGCTGAGTGTTACGCATGTCCCCAAAGACACAGACTTGGTGCGGTGCAGTGCAGGTTCCTTCTGACCCTCTTGTCTGTCTGGGTGGTTGCGCTTCTCTCTCTCTCTCTCTCCAGCCCAGATCCCTGACTCTACTGTTCTCCAGGTATCCTCTGTCCTTTCCAGCTGCAGATTGTTTCACCAGCTGCGTTTAATTCGCCAATTCCTGGTGGATGTTATTCAATTTAGTTGTTCCTTCTACCTGCTCCATGAAAAGGACACATCCACTTACTTGGCCGCCATTTTGAAACCTCTTATTTTTTCTTTTGTTGATGATGCTTTTGGTGTCATATCCAAGAAATTATTGCCAAATCCAATGTCGTGAAACTTTTCTCTAAAAGTTTTATAGTTTTAACTCTTAGCTCCATTTTGAAGTAAGGGTTCCACTTCATTCTTTTGCATGTGTATATCCAGTTTTCCTAGCATCATTTGTTGCAAATACTGTCCTTTTTTCATTGGATACCTTTGGTACCCTTGTCTAATTTAATTGACTGTAGATATGAGGACTTAGTTCTGGGTTTTCTATTTTATTTACAGACCTGCTTTTGAATCTTGTCTCTATTACTTACTAGGTAATAATCGATTGGTTATTCAACTTCTTTGATATTTCTCCATGGTAGACAATAAACTCCATGAGGGTAGAATTTTTTTGTCTTTTTGTTTACTATTCTTAGTATTTAGAACAATTGATTAAAATTAATTTCAACCAATAATATTCACTGTGGGATATTTCAGCAATAACTTCCCTCAGAAAACTGTTGTAAGATTTAAATGAAATAATATATGTAGACCCTGGCCGGGTAGCTCAGTTGGTTAGAGCATCATCTCAGTACACCAAGGTTGTGGATTCGATCCTTGGTCAGGGCACATATAAGAATCAACTAATGAATACATAGATGGGTAGAACAATGGATTGATGTTTCTCTCTCTCTCTAGAATCAATCAATAAAAAATTTTATTTAAAAAATAATATATGTAAAGCATTGGGTATACTGCCTGGTGAAAAGTATATAAGAAGTGATAGTTATTTAAAATATTTATATTAACTGTATAGTTCCTATAAATAAATTAAATGGTATCTACTAAATTGATACTATAATTGGGTGAGTCTCTCTTCACATATAAGGTAAAGGTTGGTGTGGGTGTGGAATGACCTTAAATTAAGTGGTCCTCAATTGAGGAATGCATAATAACCAGCACAACCATCTTCTTCCTCCTAAATTGCTGAGATTAGCTTCCCTTATTTTTGGCATCCCAGTGAAAAAGGCTAGATGAACATTGTTGCTGGGATGCCAAAGGAGAAAATGAGGAGTTTATGGTAAAGGGAAGAAAGAAGGGACCGGAAAGGAACAAAGACAGTATCATCATGATTATCTAACCATTCTGTACTAACACCAGGCCTGGAAGTGGGAACAGACAGATTTGGATCCTTGAGAGTCCACCATATGCTAAGTGCCAACCATTGGACTACGACAGTGGTTGGCAAACCGCAGCTCACGAGCCACATGCGGCTCTTTGGCCCCTTGAGTGTGGCTCTTCCACAAAATACCATGTGCAGGCGCGCACATACTGTGCGATTGAAACTTCGTGGCCTATGCACAGAAGTTGGTATTTTGTGGAAGAGCCACACTCAAGAGGCCAAAGAGCTGCATGTGGCTCGCGAGCTGCAGTTTGCCAACCACTGGACTATGAGATTTACATATATTCTAATTCAGTCCACAGTTTACTTGCAAAGTACATATTATCTCCATTTTACAGATGAGGAAACAAGCTCTAAAAGATTAAATAACAGACAGTAAATAGCAGAATTTGGATTTAAACACAGATCTATTTTGACTCCAAGGCTTGTGATCTGAAGCAACATAATTCGATTTAGTTTTCTTTTCCAATTCCAACCCTTCTGGTAAATGTGAGAACAGCTAAAACAAATTTTGTACTCATGTACTGCTTTATTTTATTGTTGTTTTTTTCTGGTACACAAACTGCTAAGCCTTTTTTGCATTATCACCATGTTCTGTTTTGTTATTTTAACTGGCAAGTTGGAGATTCCAAAGCTTCTAGCAAAGTTTTCCTGAGGATTGTAAAGTTTTCTAAATTATCAGCCTATGCATTTTATAATTTGTAGTAGCAAGTATAAAATGCAAAAACAATTATCCTATATGTAGTTTGTTGCATTAGGCAAGATAGGTGGTGATATTGTTAGTTGGGAGAGTTTATATGTATACTACAGGCCGGGTGCATGAAGATTCATGCATGGGGGAAGGGAAGGGGAGTCCCTCAGCCCAACCTGCACCCTCTTTAATCTGGGAGCCCTCAGGGGAGCCCTCTCCAATCTGGGAGTTTCTGTCTGTCTTTGCAATCATATGAGTGAATTGTCTGAGACCTCCAACCCAGTTTGGTTTGTTGCTCACAGAATAATAGAAGCATTTTTTTTTTCTTTGCTTCATTGGTGGAGATTTCCTGGAAGTTTTAGGATATGTTCCCTTTAATTTTTCCTAGACACTCTGATTTTACTTATGTCTCTCACCTTTGCTTTCCCTCCATCCCCTACCACAACAGTAACTTGCTCAAAGTTCACTTTGCTCTAGTGTCTAGGAGAGCTGTCTACCACCAGAACTACTATTCCCAGAATTCCTGGTGCTCCCTGTGCTGGGAGCTACCGAGGGAGCCATGGCCCCCCAAGCCTCTGGCTCTCCTGCTCTGCTCTCCACCCGGTGATCAAGGGAGCCACGTCCCCCCAAAGGAGCGACCGAGGGAGCCACTTCCCCCCAAGATGCCAGCTCTCCTGCTTCTGCTCTCCGCCCGGTGCCTGCGTATGCAAATGAACCACCATCTTTGTTGGGATAATTTGCACATTCACCCTGATTGGCTGGTGAGCGTAGTGAAGGGATGGTCAATTTACATGTTTCTCTTTTATTATATAGGATGTGTATGTGTGTGTGGATAAATACAGAGACAGGGTATCCCCACAAAATGTGTACACATTATAAAGGCAATGTTTATTAAAACACGTTTAGTTTTCAAAATGTAATGTAATCTACAGTTATCAGCTTTTAAAGTTATATACACTGTTTGTGGGACACCCTATATATGTGTGTGTATCCACACAGACATACAGGACAATAGTGAAAAACATCTGAGTCAGTAAAATGGATATTGAGGAAGATAGCTTTAAAAATTCCCAACAAGCATTATATCATTCTGGTGCTAATAAGTCTTAGACCAGGTTGTTTCACTTTGCTTCCAACTTAAACCAATCATTTTTATAAAATCATACTATTGTTTAAAGCAGGGTGGGGAACCTTTTTTCTGTCAAGGACCATTTAAATATTTATAGCATCATTCACTTAATATAATTCACTTAATATAAAAGTATGTTGTTCTGAAAAAAGCTCCTAAATTTATTGAATTTAGAGTCTCTCCTGCGGTTGCCTTTGCAGGGCCAGACCAAATGATTTTGCTGGCTTTATATCACCTGTGGGCCGGATGTTCCCCACCCTGGTTTAAAGAGTAATAAGAACAGAAAATGTATCTGGTTGATGAAACTGTTAATAACTTTGTGATACATTGACATGGAGGGATACCTTCCTGGGTGATTGGTATCATTTTCACAGAAGAATAGGATGTTGCTTAGGTGTAGGGATGTGTTTATATAATGTTGTAGCAGGAGTTATGCTAAGACTTCCATTGGTGCATTCCATCTGGATTATAAGAGGATAAGAACTAAAACTTCAGGGCTGAACTGCATGGCTTTGAATTTTTGTTCTGACACTAGCTTTGTGACCTTGAACAAGTTACCTAAGGAAACAGTATTAAAGTTTATATGAAAAATGGGAATAACAGGCTATCTACTGTATAGTGTGGTTATGATAATAAAATAATACATGCAAATCACTTAGAAAAGTTACTGGCTCACAGGAAGTATTCAGTAAGTGTTAGCAGTTATGGTTGTTATTGTTCATTACTGGTGTTATTACTATTAGTAGTACTAGGGGTTGTTTAGATCTGCCACAGTGATAATGGGTGGGGAGGCGCAATACCATATAGCTGCAAAATATCAGCTTTTGAGACTGTAATTGATTCCAAGTTCATATGCTCAGTGTGTGGTAAGATCAACCACTGAAGCATGGAGTATGCAACTGGAGTTTATTTTTAGAGGCAACCAAACAAAAAAATGGGGAGAAAGCCCAAAACTGTCTCCCCAATCCAAGGTTCAGGGCTGGTTTAAAGGGATTAGGGGTAACAGGTATGAGGAAGCACTGCTGTAGCAAGTTATAATTGGAGGACCTTGGAACTTGGCCATTTATGGTAAGGGGCTTCAGCCAGATCTTTCTGGACAACGGGCCCTGCAATTCTGAAAGGGTTCCATTTATGACCCTGTCCTTTGATTTCCTGAGGTGGGGGGGCATGGAGGGACTTTGGTTCCGGGTGCAACTGAAGGTCAAAGTTCTCTCCTCTGTGCATGCTTCACCTGTATGACTTGTGATTTTGGTCTGTCCTCTCTGAAAAGCAGCTCAGTATCTTGGAAACCATTTTGACTTGGTTTTGTAGTTAGGCTAGAAGGCCTGAGTTTGATTACTGCTTTTATTATTTACTACAGGCCTGTTGCACAAAGAGATTCGTGCAGTAGGTCTTCCCTTGGCTGCTGGCATCAATTTGCTTCTGGTACCTGGACCCAGGCCTTTGCTCTACATATGCAAATTAACCACCGTCTTTGTTGGGTTAATTTGCATACTCTCCTGATTGCCTGGTTAGCGTAGCAAAGGTATGGTCAATTTACATGTTTGTCTATTATTAGGTAAGATGAGATTATCTATGACTTAGAACATGCCTCGTTATTCTTTCATTTGTAAAATGAATAAAATGATACTACTAATGTTTACTGGAGGAAAATAGAGTTTGTCACATCAAAATGTGTCTCTTTGGCATAAGGATTACTTTAGGCTAGTTAATTTTAAGAAATAGGAGATATGGCCCTAGCCTGGTAGCTCAATTGGTTGAACATTGTCCAATACACCAAAGGTTGTCAGTTGGATTCCTGGTCAGAGCACATGCCCAGGTTGCGGGTTCCATCACATCTCCCTCTCCCTCTCCTTGTCCCTCTCTCTCCCCCTCTTCCTCCCCCCTCTCTATAAAAACAACAAAATCAATAAAAACATTAAAAAAATAGATCCCTAGCCAGTTTGACTCAGTGGATAGATCATTGGCCTGTAGACTGAAAGGTCCCAGGTTCGATTCTGGTCAAGGGCACATGCCCAGGTTGTGGGCTCGATCTCCAGTATGTGCAAGAGGCAGCAGTTCAATGATTCTCTCATTCATCATTGATGTTTCTATCTCCCTTTCTCTCTGAAATCAATAAAAATATATTTAAAAAAATAAAATTTAAAAAATATTTAAGTTCTTGCTTATCCATGAAGTACTGGACCTGCTAGTCTGCCCTTCTGACTTCCTGTTAGTACAGCGGTTCTCAACCTTTGGGTCGCCACCCCGTTTGTGGTTGAAGGACCCTTTCACAGGGGTCGCCTAAGACTGTGGTTGGTAAACCGCGGCTCG